AAACTTTTTGCAGGACAACTTATCATGGCCAGCTCACCATAGGCCAACTTGCCATGGAATAAAAGTTACAGTAATATTGAAGAAATGGTGGAGTAGAATCATTAAAGAAAGGATGCCAAAGGAGGAATGAAATGAAATGTGAATGATAAAAATTAAAAAAGTTTTAATTATAGTAAATTAAGCTGAAGTATTGAATTGTCCTGTAGTGAGTTGTCCCATGGTGAGTTGACCATGGCGAGTTGGTCTCAACGAACTGACAGTAGCAAAATGGCTGTGGTGAATTGGCCATGGTGAGTTGGCTGCAGTAAGTTTTCCCATTCCACCCAAACTCCCCAACGAGCATATTGGATGGGGAATTCTGGGAATTCAGGTTCACTCATCATAAAGCTGGGAAATGTTGCTGTATTGTACAAAGCTTTATTTTGCAAAGCTGATCTTTCTTTTTTTTTTTAAACAAGTTTTATTGATTTTACAAACAAACAAAACAAAACATCATTAAACATTAAGAACATAAAACCTCTTTCCATTGTATATCCTTACAAGGCAGGTAACATATTGCTTTATATCACGTACTTATAATTTATCCCATTTCCATATAAACACGTAAATTCCCTTTACCAAATTCCACATTGTTTCTCTTTAATCATTATTCAGTCATATTTCCTTTCTGATTTATCTGCTATCCAGTCATCAACTTTATATTTTCCTCTGGCTTGTTTATAATTATTCTCATCTAGTCTTCCTCCGAGATTTTATTATTTAATTCTTAATTAAACACACACACATAAAACATAGACATAAAAACATAAAAACTTTCTTCTAGAAAGTAACTTGGCCCCAGATTACCTCTTTTTGTATGGACTCAATTGAATTCACGCTCTTCTTCAAAGCTGATCTTTCTATCAGTGATGTAAATCTAGGATGATTTCACCTCTAACTAAAATACCCATATTTCAGGAAGTTAGAATTTGTCATTGTAAGGCAGGGGTGTCAAACTGACGGCCCATGGGCCAGATGCATCATGCTCAGGGCACACACACCCCAGCTCTGTGGAGGGAAAAAGTGTCACAAAACATAATGTGATGGCAACATAACGCCATGAGTTTGACACCCGTGTTATAAGGCTTCTCCAGATGATTGGTTGAAAGGACTCACATATCTAAATTAATTTTTACTGGATAGTCCTATAGTTCAAGTTATACTTATGTATGATTGTGCCATATTTGCACCAAACAGAATACAACATCCTTAGTATTTAATTGATAAAGAATTTATTCTTCTGTATTCTGAATTTTTCTAACAAAGGATAGTTAGCTTTCAGTCTTCATTCTCACATTGCAGAAGCCTTCATTTCTCTGGTTGCATAATGGCTTAAAATCTATGGTGCAATGTAATATCTTACTCTAATTTCCCAGTTATATTAGAGCAGTTGCAGAATGTGATGTGTATGACTACTCTCAAGATAGTAGTTTGATGGTGATGCATTAATAGCAGGATGACTATATATCTTCTTTTTTAGAAAGGTTAGGGTTAGGGTCAGATTAGTTTAAAAATTAATTATAAAAAGAAAAAGAAGAAACTTGAAATTGTGTATCAACATGATAAGGCTTGAGTAGCAGACTAAAAAAGTCACAATGTTGAGATGTCTATTAAATGGCTTCCTGGGTGCATTTACATATGTAAAATAAGAATATGCAAATTTTAAACATATGAGCTTTAAAAAACCTTAGGAATACTCCTGTTATTGGTCTGGATTCTTCCCATTAGAGTTATCTTAGAACCCCACTGGAGAATGTCAGCTTACAGTAATCAAATATTTATAGCGCATTTCTGAAAAGCAAAAATAAGACTGGTCATTTGTCTTCTTGAGCAAAGCAGCTCTTTTGTATTTTAAATTTTTATTTGTCGTGATGTCGTGATTTTTAATAGAGTCACTACTACCATTACCTCAAGTACAGTTTCCAGAATTTCATAGAAAAATAAAGAAAAGAAAGGAAAGAAAGAAAGGAAAGAAAAATAAAATAAAATAAATAAACTTGTTATCAGTTGCTAAAGTAGCTTTGGGATTATGTGCCAGTGAATAAACTGGAGGAAAATGGCAATTTTTGAATAAATGAAGAAAATATTGTATTGTAAGCTGCCCAGAGTCAGATATTGAAACAGGTGGCATATAAATTTAATAAATAAAATAAAATGGGAAACAAATAATGCTGATGAGACATTAGTCATTAATGTAATCAGGCAAAATCCCAGTCATCATTAGTAACTAGGATAAAAACTACCTTCAGTTTACTGAAAATCTATCACTTAATAGTAGTCCCATTTTCTTTTTCTGTAATTGTATTTTCAGAATAGGATCTTAAAAAGTAAAGTAAGAAAGAAAATTGATAATTTCTCCCTCCAAGTAAATAAAAGGTAATGTATCTCATAAGCAACATATTCTGGTTCTGTTTAAAATTTGAAGCTGACACAATGGAATTTATCACTTTTTCTATTCATTTTTAAATTCTTTCTCCTATTACTTGTGAACTTTTTAAAATTCCTACAAAAATTAATATTTCTCCCTATACATCTATATTCATAGATACTTTGCTGAATATACATGTTTTTGTAAATACTGTAATTATTTTTACAGATATTCATTTTAGATAGTAATAAAATTTGCAGGAATGCAAATTTTGAATTTTTCTATATATATTGATTTTAAAATGCAAAACTGTTAAGATTTACAATAAACGCAAATCAAATTAGTGTTTTCTTTTTAAAAAAAATAAATTTTTATTCTTTAAAAACCAAAAATACAAAACTCTCATTCCCATTAACAGTGTTTGTGTCATTGTATATACATGTTTCTCGTTTTGTAACTATACATTAATTTCTATCTTTATTCTTCACCATTCATACCACCTATCCCATATCACATAATATTCTCGATTATCCTTGCCTTTTAATTCCATAATGAATTTGTCTAGCTCTGTACAATCCATTATTTTTTTAATTAAAGCTTCACCTGATGGTATTTTGTCGCTCTTCCCAATTAGTGTTTCCAATAGCCATGTATTATTAGGACTCTGGAATAAACTATTGAGACATTTTGTTGTTGTTTGTGTTGTCGTCTTGATAGAGACAAGAAGAAAGATAGAGCTTGGATATTTCTGAGCATCAGAAAGGATATGATTGTTCATTGCTTGCACAAGCAGGTTGTTTGCACAAGGAATAATTTAGGAGGAAGATTAGCTAGTTATGGTAATAACTTCAATTGCTCTAAAAAGGGAGGAGTGGAAGAATGTTAAATCAGAACAATTTCTCCTTTGACTAGATCTTCCCAATATGATGGAAGTCCTACTACTAATCCCATCATTGTCCATAAAAATTATAAACCAATACAGCTGGAGGGCACCAAGTTGGGAAAAGCTGATCTGGCATAGATAGAAGGAAGAGATTTCTGAGGTGTGTGTAAATACAGGAAGCATAATTCTCTCACACAGACACACAATGAATCAGAGCATGGTATTCTGGAGAAAGGGATAGGCATTCTTTGGGATGTTCCATCACATCTGATCTTATTTGTCTTCTGGACTATCCAGAGTAATTGGTTGAAACCTGACAGGAGTAAACTTGTCCCCCCCCCATGTGTGTGTGTGTTTGTGTGTGTGTGTGTGTGAGAGAGAGAGAGAGAGAGAGAGAGAAATTGCATCATTTTTAAGTCTGTCTTCTATATTTACATTTGAAACGTATTTAAAAGACAAAGATAGTTCAGCAATTCAGATTAGCAAGTTGATCCTCCCTCCCTCCCTCTGGAGAAATACAGGCTGAGTGTTTTGTATTCTAGGTACTTGGCAAGGCTTCTCCTTCCTCTGGGCTGAAGTGAGAGTTGTGGACTGCATATAGATGATATAATTACTGTTATCTATTCTCAGAAGCTGACGATTAGAGGGTCTGTCTCTAAGAGAGGTTTTTAAAGAGAGAACAGGGAGTAAACTATGTTTAAATCTTCTCTCCAACCCATACTCCCAGCGCAACAATCTCTACCACAGTGCTTGGTTTTTTTTTTCCTTTAAAGATAAATACAAGATAAGTACCATGAAAATACAGTATATATATCCTACTTGATTAGAAGTATCATGATATGAAGTGCCGCTTGTGAATCATTGTTGTTTCAAGGCACTGGATATTATGGCAGGTGTTTATATCAGAGTTATTTGAAGGAAGTTACTAGTTTGTTATTGCTGGCTTTGAATTACTGGAGTGAGAAAACCACTGCCTTAATCCATGTGAGTGCAGCAAATATTGGGAAAGATGGCCATATTTCTCAGTGGAGAGCCTACACATTCTTTACAGTACATGTACTCAACAGCTTTCACCATTATACAGTATTGATTTTTGGATTTGGGATTTCTTCCTTATGTTCTTTGGATGACATATTTATACTGTATATTTAAAAACTGCCTTTCTTCTTGACTGATGTCTCTAGTTTTCAGTAGTAATTGTAAACAACAAGTTATTTTATGTCAGTGGACTTTGTTTAAAGACTTACCTTGTTCACCAAGGTATTTGTTTTTTCATGTAAGAGGAAAGTTTTAAAAATTGTATGTGTTTGTCTAGCGAATTAATACTGGAGGAGATTTAAATAAGAAAATTTTTGGCTCAACTGTCCAGAACTACTGTTATTTATTTCTTTGTACAAATTCTCACCAGGCTCAAGGTTGACTCAGCTTTTTAGCCCTCCGTGGTGGGTAAAATGAGTACTCAAAATTATTGAGGGCAATATGCAGACTCTGTAAACCGCTTAGAGAGGGCTGTAAAGCATTGTAAAATGGTATATAAGTCTAAGTGCTATTGCTATTTTAGGCACATCTTTTCCATTTTGTCAAAAACAGTTGGGTTGGAGCCCAAGCCAGAAAGTTGGGGTTGTGCTAATTAAAAGAGAGTTAATTTTAATGCATGGATACTTTGAATAGTGATGTCTTACTTCTGTTTCTTCCCTCTTTCATGCTTAGGTGTGTCTGAGAAACTACTCACAACGGGAGTTCTGCAATGCTCACAGCCGTCTGTGGTTCTCTTGGCAACCAGTGCTCAGAGACACCTTGTTCTTCTCCAAGCCACTTAGAGCTGCAGCCTCTGCAGACATATCAACCTCATACTAGCCCAGAAAGTGGGGGAGATTTCCCATCCCCTCTGCAACCCACGGAACTCCAGCACTTGCCTTTGACTGCACCTGACACGGAATACTCAGATAACAGTGGTTACGAACTGCATGGGTCTTCAAGGGTAGATCTGGACAGTGAAAGCCAGCTGCCACCTGGGTCATACTCTAAGCTTTTACAAGCAACACCGGATATGTCTCAGCATTATGAACCTTGGTTTAGACCTACACATTCAGGCAATCCCACTGATGACAATGTCAATCCATGGTGGGATCTCCATGCTGGATCTAGCTGGATGGATCTTCAAAGTGGTCTCCAACCACCAGGCCACACAAGTGGGCTGCAGCCAGCATTGGGTGGCTATGGTTCTGCAGAACATCAACTCTGTGGTCCACCTCATCATCTGCTGCCTTCAGCACCACACCTCATGAACCAAGAAGTTATTAAATCCCTGGATTCTACTCAAGAACCTCATCCAATGGAGCAAGCTGGGGATAGTAGTGGAAGACCAAAAAGCTCAAGGCGTTCAGTAACCCGGAGCTCTGGCCAAGCTGCTTGTCGATGTCCTAACTGTCAAGAAGCTGAAAGGTTGGGCCAGTGCCCTGACAATTCCAAAAAGAAGCATCTCCACAACTGTCATATTCCTGGTTGTGGCAAGGCATATGCCAAGACATCCCATTTGAAGGCTCATTTGAGATGGCACAGTGGCGACCGTCCCTTTGTCTGCAATTGGTTGTTCTGTGGAAAGCGCTTCACCCGCTCTGATGAATTACAGAGGCATCTTCAGACCCATACAGGAACCAAAAAATTTACCTGCCCAGTTTGCAACCGAGTCTTCATGAGAAGTGATCATCTAAGCAAGCATATGAAGACACATGATGGTGCCAAGGAAGAAGCAGAAGGAGAGGCTAAAACTGGAACAGAAGTTCCTGCTAAAATCAAACAGGAACCTGAGGGAAGCGCTTCAAGTGCTACTTCTCAATCTAATTGAGCCTTTTCTCAAGGATGTCCAGCCCTTCCTATCTCTCTATAATGGTCAATCCTGGGTCTGTAACTTCCTACTCATGGCTATAGGATCAATCCATCCTCTGGCATGAACATTAGTCTGTCCTCAAATGCAATGTTATTTATTTTGTAGGAGGAAAGGGTGATATTGTTGGGACAATTTGGAAAGTCCAGGCCTTTAGCAGCTTCGGGCTGGGACTTCATATTGTTCTTTTGTTTAGGGAATATAGGAAGATACTGTCAAAAGAATAGTTAAGGAGGTGGGTGGGTTAAGTGGCATCTTGAGACAGTTACAAATGGAGGGATGCAGTCCTTGCCTCCTTCCATTTGAATGTTAGGCTTCATGTTTTTGCTATATACAAAATCACAAAAACATACAAGGGTTATAGGGGAACCTCATTCTTTAGTTTAAGCTCTTAGAGTTTTAGTGGTTTGGATATTAACCATCCCAAGTTTGGTTCCAGTTTAGTAGATAACATGGTAAATCCAGTTTAATGCAAAACGTCAACCACACTTCAGTTTCCATGGGGATTTTTGGGGAAGATCATGATAGAATTCTTGGCTTGCATCTCAGACACAGCTACCTCACTCTGTTCCCAAAGCAGTGATCTTAGACCATATCCTTAACTATGGATACAGGTGGCTCTAAAAGTAAATTAGCTTTTTTATGGCAGTTGGTGACACATAAATTACTATAATATGGAATAACATAATTCAAGCTTTAAATTTTCCTGAAGTCCCAACTGAAATATACATTTATATATGCCTTTGGTGCTAGTATTTTGCTTAGGTTATCTATTAAAAATAGGTTTTCTAAAAGTGTTTATATTTTCAACCAAACACGAAGCATCTGGTCTCTCCAGGAGGTATGACCATTTCCTTTACTTAGGAGAGAAAAGAATGAGAAGATAAAGAAATGTACAAATTGAAGGAACTGGAAAATGATTCTTTCCTGCCTCTGAAAAAAGACAACTGAATATTTTTGGGAATAGGGCAGGATGGAAATACCATACTTTCTCATAATTAATATGATGTTAATATCTAGAATGCTTTCTTATGGTTCCACAGAAATGAGAGGATTTCCTTAATACAAGGGAGAAAATCCATTTTGTGTTGATTGAGTAGAAATGGCTAGCATTTTTTCTGTATACACACTCTGCATTTCTCAGTCCTCCAAACCTTTTCCCCTATTTCCCTATCCCTTTAAAGTTTCATTGAAGGGAAGTATGTACTAAAGTTGTGGGTTAGAACTCAGTTTCTGATTGCCTCAGGGCAAATTCAGCAATTAAGGATGTGCTTTGTTTTGTTTTGTTTTTTGTGTTCTTACAGCAGATGGCAAACTAGTTCAAGCACATGAATTGGTTATAGTAAATTGAGGCTATCTTTCACTGATGTTAATACAGTCTTGATTTCCAGCTGTATAAAAAGTGATTTAACTTTTCTCACGGTACCGATTCACAAATTTAACCAGGTTCTACAATTAAATCAGATCTGACTTAAGATCTAGAACAATTTTTGTTTCAGCTGTAGCCTTTATATCAGACATTATGTGCAATTTTATACAAATTGCAATGACAATACATGTTGTTCAAGGAAAATAATATAAGCATTACAAAAAAACCTTATTTGTACTTGTTTTTTTAATTTGGATAGAAATATGCAGATTTCTGCTCAGAAAATGAATGTGGAAGGGCTGCACCATACTGTATACTCTGGATTGCTAGTAATTCTTTTTGAGCCAGGTAAGTGTTTGAGGTATATTTTCACAAATGAAGGCAAATATACATGTCCCAGGATAATGTTGCAGAATTCAATCTGGGTCGGTCACTGGGGCCAGAGCTTTAGTCTTCCAAACTTCCAGACTTGTGCTGGAGCCCATCCTCAGGGAACTTCTCTCTCACCAGAATGTTACTTTGGGCTATTCTATGCATAGTATTTATGTGATGCCAAATTGTGCCTAGCTTTTTAGTTGTTGAGTTGATGGCCTGTTAATGGCAGGTTATTAAGTCATTGGCTGTTGTTGACTTGTGCTGCCGAGTCCTTAGCTCAGCACTCCTGTTGACTGACTTCAGTCCAGGCTTCAGTCATTTCCTTGACCAGATTCTTGCAATCTGGTGGTTAGCTTTCGCCTTGTGTGTCCTACATAGCCGTTGAGGCATTGTATGAATTTCCCCTGTAACTATGATTGTCCCTGTCACTTGCATGAATTGACCCGGTGACTGTATAGGACAGATGAGGAGGAAGCTAAGAATCAGATTGCAAGAACACAAGGGAGCTTAAAGATGAGGAGACCCGAACTCATTGGTAGCCTTACATTGCAATGAACAAGGACATTCAATTTTGCAACTACTAAGATTGTTGGCCAAACAGGTACAAAAGTAGCCAGGAAAATGATTGAAGCCTGGAAAACAGGCTCCTTGTCAGTCAACAGAAGTGTTGATTTACCACCAGCCTGTCAGGTATTTAGAAGCCAAGGACTTGGCAGCACAAGTAAATAACAGCCAATGATTTAATAACACCTCAATCAACAATTTTAAAAAAACCACATACAACCAGGCATCACATAAATAGCTGAAAGCACATATTCTGGTGAGAGAAAAGTTCCCTGAAGAGGAGTTCTAGCACTAGTCCAAAAGCTCAGAAGATTAAAACTCTGGTCCCAGTGACCAGAGGTATATTTTGCACAAAAAGCAATATCCAGTGTCCTTGTGCCCGTCTCTTAATTTCTCAGCAGACCATTGAGCTTACCATAAATAGTAAGACTGGTTGATATTTAAAATATTTTTTAAGATCAAAATTTGGAAGTGTACTTTGAACACAATTGTCTTCACTAAAACAACTGCATTAACTGTCCACAAAAAACCCGAAACATTTCCCCCACAGTTTTGTAGTTTTTATCTATAAAACTTAATCAGTTTTACTGTTCCAACTGATATTGTAATCCTCTAATTATATTCTATATGATAGTGACGTTTTATAGGCAAATCTGATTTAGGATAATTTACTCAAAAATCTCCTTCAACCCACCCCCAATTTGTTTCGGTTCTTCAAAGCAATTTCCTACACCTCACAATCTTAACATTTTTCTTCCTCATTAATGACCCCACCTGGGAAGTTCAACCACACTCACTGCCTGTTACCCAGTGGGGATTTAATTCATGCACTTTCTGGCTGATGGCAATGTTCTTGGCTGCTTCTGCCCTTCCTTCCTGCACAGTATGCTGTGCACTTCATACTATTTGCAGAAGGGAGAACTTTTAAGGAAACGAGCAAAATCACATGGGATCTCATGCAGCCTAATAACATGAAGGTGTCCAGACATGTCCAGGCCAGAAAACAAGGGAGGAAGGCAATATTTAATATCTATTGCTTGGGAAATGCTCATTAAAAATTTAACTCAGCCCAAAGGAAGAATCCTTCTATTTTTTTGGTTAAGAGAGGGGAAAATATTGGCTCTTTTAATGTGCCCTCTCTGTTTTCCCAGCATTAGCAATAAAGTTTTTGACTGCAGTTATAACATTTACAAGAACTTGCAGTTCTAACTTTATAAGTTTTGATCTATTAAACACTTTAGCTAGGAAAGTGCAAGTTAGTGATACCTAAAGAAGATTCGTTACATGGTGTTCAACAAAACTTTCTTCCTATTAACCATGGCAACTACTGATAACAGATATCACAGAGTATGTTGCAGAGAGGGTAGTGGGAGGGTGAGAGTAAATAAAGTGGTTAGTTTAATTTCAGTTTAATGGCACTCCAAAAATTAATATCGGATGAAATGCTGTAAACTCAATTTATTAGCTATTAGGCTTTTATGAGGAAATTGTTCCGAATTTTATACGCCTATGTGAGGAAGTTCTACCACAAGGACAAGACATTATGCATGTGTTGAGAGGCTCCCTAATTTTCCTCCTTGCTTGTGACAGAATGCAGATATTGAAGTCAATGAATTTATACACTTCCCTTACTTTAAATGTCTGAAATTAAGTTTGAGATTTTCTTGAGATGAGAGGGACAACATGCACTCCTTATTGTTGCCTTTTACTTTCTGAGACTGATTACTTCAAGGACAGTATCCCAGACAAAGGTCTTATAAGCCTAAACTTTGCTGATGTTTTTTTTTCCTGAAAGGCTTTCTAGTGAAAAGCATTTCTGAATGAAACATACAACGACACTCGTGATCACACTAGAGTGGTCATCTAAGGTGCTTGTGTGCTTATTCAAATTCTGGCACAATGTATGAGTTAGACAATCCTCATGTGCCACTTAATATTTGAAAATACATCTTTCTCTTTTCTGTTGGACACAACCTTGGTTAAAAAAAAAAATTCTCACCTACCGTGTCTGTAGAAGAAACAAGTCCAGACATTATTGCTTGTCTGGCTCCAGAAATAAATTGCCTCTGTCTTTATAGATTCCTATCCTCTATTCAAAGGATTATTCATGTTCAAATCTGGTTTAAAAAAATAAAGAACATCAGAAAGGATTGAATCCGCCCTTCATCTAAGCAGCATATTGACTAACAAATTGGTCCCTTGGTCAAAGGCTTCTTCATTATGGCAAAATAACATGATCATATTTATTTTAAATTTTGAATGTATACATGCAACATATCATATGTAACAAAGGCCTAATAATGAAAAAAAGTGCCTCTTGCCCTGTTTTTTGTTTTTAAGTGGCTATCTTATAAAAGTGACATTTCATTTTCTGGAAAAGGCAGACAAAATGCACTAAAGAGTAGTAGGCCTACATGTCTCTTAGGATATGCAGGATTGTGTGTGTACAGGAGAAACTTCATTCCTTTGTGGAAATCCCACAAGCAACGGCTGCATCTGCCGGGCGCATTTTGTGCAACTTGCTGTCCATTGGGTGCCTGCCAAATGCCTAAGACACCTGCTCCTTTCCCACACCCACTTCTCTCTCACCTGCCACTCTCTTTGCCCCGGGGAGAGCTGATGCAGGCGAGAGGGAGGTGGAAAGAGTTCCCAAAAGCCAGAGAAGCAGGCCCAGCAAGGATTCCAATGAGATGGCCCAATTGTGTGGGGCAAAAAAGGGTGTGTTGCAGCACCTGTCTCCTGTACAAACTGGGCCTTACATTTTAATTTAACTTTTCTGTAAAAAATAAAGCTGAATGTGTGAGCTCGATATGAGGCATTTCAGCTAGTGTTTTGTAAGGATGGTTTGCGAGTATTATATTCATTGGATATTAAGATTTCTTTCCTAATCTAGAGGGTTTTTATCTGAATTTCTTGCCCCCTCCAAGTTTAGACACATTACTTTTTGTAAAAATGTGACTATTACAAGCCAAAAGATTGCTTTTTTGTTTTCTTGGTCATTCCTACCTAAAAGATCTATTTTAAAACAAAATAGGTTGTATTATGTAGTAAATGTTATTGCAATTATAAACCTACCCCACCCAAATGCAAACATCACTGAACAGTTGAATAAATAACAGTACTTCAAATGCTAGCTGTAGGTGTGCAAAGAAATTAAAAAGGAAGGGGGATGAAAGTAGAAAGTAAATACGAAACAATTACAGAATACAGATTTAAAAATCTTGCTTCTGCTCTAAGTGGAAGTTAAAGCCTTGGAATGATGCCGCCAAAATCTGTTGTTTACCCTAAACCTCTCTCCCCCAATAAAGATACATTTTTAGCCCTTGGCATAACATGTAATACTAAAGCATTGTTCTAACATTACCAGAGTCATCCTAAGTGGCTTTTTAATTTAACATAATCCCATCTACAATTTCTGGTGTGTAGTTCAGCTCACTGAAGGACACCTTTCTGGGTTCTGGGTTGAAGCAGACAGTTTCGTAACATCTGTTACAACAGTTAGTGGTTCTAGAACTATAGTGAAAATACTATTACCGTATGATAAAATAAGACTGCAGATTTATTATGTGGGGTATCATATATGGACTAACAATATAAGTATTTCACCTAGATTAGTAAAACATAATACAATATGTTAAAAAGATCTCTCTTCAAATACCAATGTCTAGGCCCTCTAAGCATTGAAGCACTGCATCGTTTATATTAACAAGTGTGAGTTTTAAATGCTAATAGGATTTTTTTTCCTTCAAAATAAAATCCAAAGTCTTCAAATTCAGAAGAATGGCACTCATTATTACAGTAGCAATAGTTTCCTTTATGACTTGTTCCATTCCAGTTTTTATGTACATAAATCTTTGAGGGGCCTAATATGGAGCAATAAATGGAGGAGTCAATAGAAATGTTGTATATAATAGATGATGGAGGTTTTCTTTAAATTATAATTAGAGGAAATATTATTAATGAGATCTGGAAAATATCTTTTTTTAAAATATCAAACTCTAGGACATTCAGTTCTAGAACAGTGTCTGACAGCTACAATATCTTGCCTGACATATTTTATCCCAAGGTTTTATGTATGCTTTGATCTAATGGAGTAAAGCTCTGTTAAAAAATGTATCTGTAATTCTCCTTGGCACAAATAGATAATGAATGCATCTTATCACTGAATGGAATCTCCAAGCTACATAACTGAATAACTGCAATCCTTTCAGCTGAGTTCAAAAAAATTACTGTAAAGAAAATGCCTTGATCTAGTTCTTGGGTTGTCAACATACAGTT